CGGTGCTGCATCCGGCTCCCCGCCGGGGCCCTCGGCGCTACGCGCGGCACTTCGGAGCGCCAAGACCGAGCAAGGGGCCAAGGGGCCAAGGGGCCTGCTGGCCTTGTGCGAGTGTGAGAGTCGAAACCTTCAGACCTAAAGCCCCGATGACCTAGAGCAAGGCCAGGTTGAGAGCCCCTATCAGCACCCCTTGATTCCTGGATGCCACAGGGCAACCTGTCTGGGCTGAAGCTAGACAGGAGCGCAGTGCTGTGTGGCTAGTCGGGGGGCAAAAAAACCCCCTGAACCTGAAACTCTCAGTCATGCCCTTTGCTGGTGAAAGTGCGGGACTCTTTGTAGTGTGCCAAATGAGTCGGACTGTCGGACCGAATCCTTGGCCTGCCTTGTCCGAGTGCGAGAGCCGAAACCTGAAACCCTCAAACCTGTACCCGAGCTATGCAAACATGAGCTCGCAATCCTGCAGCGTGATAAACAGTCCAACGCGAATAAGAATAATGATGTACGTCGGCATTCTGATTGCAACCGCTTCTCCTCCGGGCGACACGCACGCGAGCATCTTCATGTAGCCAGGATGGTCCCCACTGTTACAGGCCTACGCTGGTATGACTGAGGTTCATTAATTAGAGGAGCGCTGTGAACGACCTGCGCCCGAAGGCCTTGGTACGCGGAGACCGTCGCACAGCTTGGCACCCGGATGGACCTCGAAAGCTGGCAGGAGAGTTGGCAAGGACCTCGCCTGTGCAAATCCACGTGTAAGAGCTCAAGCTTAAAAGCAATCATTTCGCGGTCTTTGGCCTGTGAGAGCGAGAGTGAGTGAATAGGCTTAAAATGCGATCAAGCAAAAAAGGCTTGATGGAATGGCAGCCTCCGCCACAGCTGAGCTTCAAGGCCAAGATCGTGGGCTCGGAGCACGGGGAGTGCTAGGAAGCTGGTGGTTGACAATGTTTGACATCACGGGGTCATCTCGGGCAACGACAGCCCATAGCCCGTGTAGGAGCGCTACTCCATTACGCTATACCTGCGCCAACCTGTGGAGCTGTGAGCATTTTCCTCTCGGGATGCGCGTCCACAGCTAGGCATTCTTCTTCTTTTGATCATGAATACTACGACTATCATTTATTACTATTATTATTATCGTTATTATCATCATTAGTATTAGTATTATCATGATTATTCCTATTGATATTATTATTTTTCTTGTTATTAATTTCATTATTGTTATTCTTATTGTTACTATATTCTTATTCTTGTTATCATCATCATCATCATCATTCTTATTGCTATTACCATACAAATATGATTGTTAGTGGTAGTAGCATCAACATTTCTACTCTTACTCTTATTATGGCTACTATTATTACCACATATTGTCATCATCATTAGTAATCTTATTATGCTTATCATTACTATAATTAATATTGCCATTATATTAGTACTACTATTCTTATTGTTGTTGTTGCTATTCTTGTTATTGTTGCAATTATTCTTATTGTTCTTATTATTATCGTGATTATTCTTTTGCGATTATTACTCTTATTGCCATAGTTATTGTTATTCCAATAAGTGTTGTCTTATTCTCATTTTTAATATTACTAGTCTTACTATTGTTTTTTAGCATTACTGTACCCTTCTTCTTCAGCTTCTTATTAGTTTTACTGGTATTACAAGTACTTCTATAATCACAATATTTATTATTATTACTACCATTCTTTTTCTTATTATAACTACTGCTATTGTTACCACTGTTTAAAGTACAATCATTATGATTCTTCTTCTTATGATTATGAGCACTAGTATGATTATTACTATTATTTGTTAGCTTGCGGGGTCTGTCGTAGGGGTGGGGTGAGCAAATATTGATATAAATAAATAACATATATATATATATATATACATATAGATATATATACATATATATATATATATAGGGTTTTGGGTGCAGGGCTTTCGGGTTTGGGGTGATCGTTGCTGCACCACATGGTTGAGCCACCAGGCAGGCTAAACATACAAGCACGCCAAGCCCAAGCATACCCAAACCCCGATAATCCTCAAGGCCCTCTTGAAAATACCAGCGAGAACAGATAGATCAACATAGACTTAGCCGCAGACATGTGCGGATCTCCGTCAGGGTCGGGGCCAATACCCTAAAACCTAAAGCCTAGTAGGAACAAGAGTACAGGAATCCCGGCTTTTCGCACGGCGACCCGAAATCCCCGAAACCTGCAGAGAAGCCTAGCTTCAGTCATTGAACTTGGCTTCTTGAGCTTTTGGGCCCCTAAACCCTATAAACCTTAAACCCTAAACCCTTGAGGGCAATGGTTGTGACGTGCCTGCAGATGAAGATGATGAGATGAAAACGTCCCAAGCGATGGAGAAGAAGCAGACTTGCCCGAAAGGCTGATGTTCCGAGAGGGGTTTCTTGCCAAGGGTTCTGTGCATTTGCTTGGAGCCAGGCATGTCGACTACCCAGCGTGTCGCTGTCGCGCTCCTTCTGCTTAAGGCCTGGCGCATACTGCAATTCCCAGTAGTGGATGTTGATGTCAAGCTTTCTGGCCAGGCATCCATGCCCCCACGCCCTCAGTGCTCAACAGAGCTACCAGTAGGGTCTGCTTAGGGGGCAGTCGGGGCAAGTCTGAAAGGCGACCTGTGGTATCTTGCGGCTCAAGTTTGCGGATACTCACATAAACAAGCCGGCACCAAACGACCGCAAGCCAGAGCTGCCAGTTTCCGGCAAACCCCCGCAAAAAGTCGAAAGACACCGTGCAAGCGACATCGCATGACACCATGTCACATCACCACATCACATCACGCGTCGAACGCCAATGAGCCTATCTCGAGAGATGGATCCACGACCGAGGCAGGAACAGCTGCTGGAGGTGGAGGAAGTATCAGGGTCGCCTGACTACTGTGGAGTAATGTATCCTCAAGCCCAAGCCCCGTGTGGTTAAATCGAGTTCTGTGTGTCCGAGCCGATGAGCACACATATGAATACGTGGGTGTGCCGTTGAGCACTTGTACGAAGACCATTGTCTGCCAGAATCGCTAGGAGGGCCATGGCCGCATTCGATTTGGATAGCCCAGCTAATATATCACCCCATTATCACCCCCCCCCTCCCCTCCCAGATCTTCAACGCCGGTACTGTAGAGGAAAACCTGGCATTGTGGAGGACTTTAGTATTGGCAAATATGGAACCCTTCGGTGGGCAAGCGGTGTTACAAACTGCAGATCTTTCTGTTCTTTAAGGTTGTTCACGGTTGAGCGGTTTGGCGGTTCCCTAGATGCTGCACTGCTTCCTCGGTATTCTGGTAGGGTTGCGCTTGCCGCTTGCCCGAGAACTGTCCTGGCTGCTGATTTATCGTCCCTTTTGCATCGGAGCCGTGTCCTTCAAATCCTGTGATCCCGCTCTTACAAGCCGATGCCGGCCGTGTGTGATTGTGAGTTGAAACCCGTCAAGGCCTGATCCAAGATGACTTGAAATAGTTTGCAAGTTGCGAATTATCTACTTGCAGCAGGAGGCAAACGTTGGCATGGCCTCATTATAGGCCCTATTACATGTCACAAAGGCTGATCATGACCCTCATTCCAAAAACAAACAAGCCCTAAGCCTGTGCCAAACCAAGATCGTGGGCCAAGGCGATGTTGTGACAAAGCAAGCCGCAACAACTGGTGCCTCCAGGATGCTGGGACTTTGATGTCGGGGGAATGTTTTGTTGAGGTTTACCTGTTCCGAGGGTCCGTAGGGTCTGCAGCTTGAGTCCTATATGAACTGCGGCCGATGTGTCCCTTCTTGCCCCACCAAGAAGAGAGGTCTTAGCGTGCTCTTGTGGTCTTACGCTTGGGGTCTCTACGCCGGCATAGTGACATAAGTCAGAAGGGGTGGGCATCATGAGGCAGCGTAAAGATGAGAAAAGGCTTCGTTATCACATCGAAAACTCACACAACCATCCTGGGGCGTTGTCGCGGGCGTGCCCTGGAGTGTCGAAGTGTCGGAGTGAGTGCGTCTGGGAGGCCTGTGTTTGTGAGCGCGTACACCCGGGTTGCTTTCGCGAACAACCTCGAGTCCTCGTCCACATGCGGAAACGCGGATCCCGTGAGATCCGAGTCGATCTCTAAGCCCACAGAAAAAGTAGCCATCGCAGCCTTGTGCTGCAAAACCGCCCTAGACTCAACCCGACATCCGAGCCCAGGTCCGTAGGGCCTTGTTTGGCCTGCTTTTCTTCAGTTTGGCTTTGCCTGGACTCTGCCTCTCGCCTTGATATGCAGATGTCAGCAACGTTTAGCGGTCTGGCTTCAAAGCCTTCAAAGCCTTTAAAGCCTTTAGACTAAGGGGCCCCAGTCCGCCGCGCGCCTTCTTACCAATAGTGCATCAAGCCTTAGGGAGTTCGTTTCCGTGGTTGATGATACTGATGGAGTAAGTCCAGGACAGTGTCAGAGTGTGCCTTGGCCGCTGCAAATGTCAACTAAGGTGTGGTGTGCATGGTGTGCCGCTTCATGTTCATGTCCGGCAACATGTCGATGCCCACAAGGCTCGCTTGAACCCCCGGAAACAAACCTCGAAGCAGCAAGCGTGGCAGCATGGTTTCAGTCCTTCGAATTCCTAATTAAGTCAACCATGTTCTCAAGCCCCCGCAGCAATACGTTTGGTAGGAGTCGGAGAAGTCCCACTCGACAATCTGCACGGCATACGCCACCCCTGTTCTTTGACATATTGTTGACTTGGCTCTGGTCAGGATAATCGTGCTGGCAGACACCTTCTGGAAGGCTTCCTTCTACACCTTTCTTTGCATAGGACTCTCGGCTCACATGAGGGCACTTTGAGAAGAGAAAAGAGGGGGGGGGGGGGCGGGTAGAGTTGGTCAGTGAGTCCGGCAGTTGCTTAAAAGCTCTCAGAACCAAGTCTGCTGCTCTTGGGCCCTGAAGCCGTCAAATTTTCACTTGGGGCTGAAAAGCTCAGAAAAACTACATTTGCTACTCCTCGCTTTAGGCTTGGGCATTCGAAACCCAAAACCAAGCCATCCACTTTGGCTGTCTGAATCACAGGACAGCCCAAGCGAAGTCACAGGTTTGCACATCTGCATGCTTTTCCCGGCAATCATGCCGTTCGCATCTTCTCACGGAACTCATCGGTGCGTTGATGAGGACTTGCTTATAGGGCCTGTGGCGATTGGGTTCACATTAAGCTTGCGGGTGCTCGTCCAGAACGGCGCCTGTGTCTAGTACATGGCAATGTCACCATGATGCGAGCCGACACGTCTTGCTTCAAAACTGCGTTCACATCACCTGCACGCCATCAAAACACGCAACAGCTTGTTTTGGGCCCGATACAGACCGGACAGATTTGAGGTTCCTTGTTTCCTTTTTTTTGGTCTAGACGCAAGATTTGGACCATCCTGCTTCCTTGGCGTGCTGGGAAGTCTATGCGAACGAGGCTCGTCCACACCAATAAAGCGCAACAAACCAGATTTTGAAGAGTTTCGGACCTTGAAATTGAAATCTGGTCTCTGTTGGTCTCTGTCATCTTGCAGCATGTTCTTCTTTCAACCACACGACGAAAGACCAGATTGGCGCCATGAATCAAAATCTGGTGTCTCTCAGTGGTTTCTTCTCCTCATCCAACCTTTCTTAAAAAACACAGAAACATACCAACAGGATGACAGCAACAAACGAAAAAATTAACAAATCGCTGGGGTCTGTGCCCCCAGACCCCAGCTTGTTTTAGAAAGTACTGTAAGAGACATGGTGGAATCACTAGCTGCCCCCAGCCCCTTTGAATCTTCAGGAGCAATGACGCTGGCGAGTGTAGTGGTGGTGCACATGCCGGAGGCATCTGCTGACGTGTCCTGATTGTTATCATATGATGTGTGTAGGCTGTGTAGGCCATTGTGAGTTCCCTCTCCAGGTCCTCAAAGAGGCTCGAAACCTCTTTCTAAGAATCGCCGCGCCCAAATCTCTCGCCACCAGCACCTGAAAAGAACGTCCCCAGCCAGGTGGATCATGCAGATGACTGGGTTTCCAACTTCTGGGCATTGGATTGGCAATGCGGACCCATCCGGGTCAACATCAAGGGCTGGCAGGCTGCGAGGGTTTGGAGGGTTGGGGTCCCTGCCGGCTTTTTTGCGGTGATGGTACGAGCCCGTGTTGCAAGAGCGCTACCATTCAATCTCTGGGGATCATACTCGGAACTGGCCTCGAGGGGAGGGGCTGGAAGCACCGGAGCTCATCCCAGCTACCAGCAACACAACCAGCTCCAGGCTTCGGGTGGTTTCCCGTCTGTCTTGGTTTCTTCTTTCCCCGCCTGCTTGAATCTCGATGCTTCCGTTTGTACTGTTTTGTTGGTCGAAACAGAGCAAAGTAAGACTAAAGGACCAACAAACGTGGAATGAACACGAGCAGATGTTGGTCTACGCTCTGCAACTCAGAAGCCCAAAATCGAGTTCCTGACCCTGACCCAACCAAAAACTCGACGGTGTGGGGACAAGCTGGGCAATAAGGGCAGCAGCCGAGTCCCGTGTGATAAAAGAGATGGGGACTTTCTAAAACCTCTGCTCCTTGGGCTGTAGATGCCTCCCATGTGTGCACACAGGCCATGGGCTTCATTTTAAGACCTCTCGGCCTCTTTGTGCTTGGCGGCTTTCTCTTCGTGTCTCAGCGCTTCGGCCGCCATATGCCCCCCAAATCCACCTAGCGCTTGAGGTTCTCAGCTTTGGGTTCTGGGGCTGAGGTGTTTTTGGGTTGTGACGCTTGTGGCTTGTGGGAACCTGGAAACGAGAGGCTGCTTCAGAGAGTCCTTATGCAACAGCTTCCGTAGCCTTGTCCATGGGGCTCGATTGCACAAACGTCAGCCAAGGATCGTCCTGGAGGAGCACATCTACAGTGGCAACTGGCTGCAAGACGAGCTCACCATGAATGAGAAGGCTGCAGCCAACTTATCAGATGTTGAGTACTGGTGCATCCAACACCTCACATTCTCCGAAGGTAGAATAATTGAAACATGCCAGCAGGTTCACCGCCGAACCTTAAGCCTTAGAGCCTTCATTAGAGGTATTAGGAAGAGTGCCGAATACCATGCTATGCGATCTGTAAGTAGTCATGCCCTTCGCCCATGCCTACGCGAAGGACAGCATGTATTGCTACTTCATGGAGCAAGTGGACTGGGAGACTGCAAAAAAGGACCAGAAGAACCTGATGCGCTTGACGAATGGGCTCCCTTGCCGCACCTACGGCCCGACATCACTTCCCTTTAAACCCGTACATCTGTATGCTCGAAGACTCGAAGCCCATTGAAGAGGCCTCAAGCCTGAGCCCTTCGATCCCAAGGCCACACAAAGCCCCCGAAATGCCAAAAAAAACCCAAAACCTCAACACCTTCAACAATCGCCACAGTTCTCTTGAGTCTACAACTGTGCAGCTGGGGGGGGGGGGTGTGGAGTGAGGGCTCTTTGTTCCTGATTGGGATAGGCAAAGCGGAAGCTGTGTGATGTCCTGGCACATTGATCATT